TTTTTTTTTTCTAGCAATTTTTGTCCAATTTTTAAATTTAATGAAAGTAGATGTTTAAAGATAGTATCATCGTCAATGGCGACAACACCAGTAACCTCAACAGCAACAGTGATAGTAACAAAAAATCAAACATTCAGTCGACAGACGACAACTAATATTCAACAAAAAATGCCCAGTCAAATTGCCGTCAAGTTACCAAAAAATAGCTGTTACAATCCAGCAACAAATTTAACAAAAAATTTTACTGCCAACAACTGCATTAATTCAGCCGATAATTACTATAAATTTTCAGGTAATTTTTATTCTGTTTTTAATTACATGAAAAAAAAAGAGGCTTATCAAAAAAAAAAAGTAGCATTTGTGGCTATTAAAAGGTCAAGTAGAACCACCTAATAACCTAAAAATTTGTTACAGAAAAAAAAAAGAGGTTTTTTTTATGTAAAAACAAGTATTTACAAAGTACAATTGCTGCAGGATGTTCCAGTAGTGAAGATAATCTAAAATTTTTTGATATCCCTGTATCGGTCTATCAGAATCGTCAATATATTGAGCTACCACGCCGAAAAACTTCAACTTCTGAAGTCAAACATCGCATTGATTTTTGTGCTTACTGTCAACGTTGGTATGACGTTAAGAATAATCCACGGGGATGTTGCAGGTAGAAATCTGAGCCTTCTTAATCCGCTAAACGAAAATTAAAAATTGAAAACTTATGTCTTTTTGAGGACTCTTTTTTATGGTAACGAAGTGACTGATTATTTGAAGAAATTTTTCTTCGCTGGGACTGATAGAAGTTGTTAAATAACATTATTTCAGCAGCTGTTTCACAGTTTCTAAGACTTATTGCTTTCAGTAGATGTAACAGTAATACTTTTTTTCTAGTGAAGCTCCAGATGCAGTTGAGAATTTTATCAGTAAAATGACCTGTTATCCGCTAGCTCAGGCTGCCGTTTATCACTGTTATCGAAGTGATGATGAAGTGGTGGCTAAAATTGGTCGTTATGGCTACGGTTATGTACGTTTTATATTGGTTATACCCTGCTAGAA